TTACCAAAGAAGACACACGAGGAAAAATGCTCACGATCATTAGCCATTAGAGAAATGCAAATCAAAGCTACAATGAGATATTTCACCCTGACATTACCGGCACTAATCAAAAAAACAGAAAACAATAAATGTTGGAGAGGTTGCCGAGAGACTGGAATTCTTACGCACAGCTGGTGGAAATGTAAAATGTTACAACCACTATGGAAAATGACATTGTGCCTCCTTAAAAAGCTAGAAATACAAATACCATAGGATTTAGCAATCGTGCTCCTAGGAATATATATTAAAGAAATAAGAGCTGTCACACGAACAGACATATGCACAGCCTTGTTCACTGCAGTATTATTCACAATAGCAAAAAGATGGAAACAACCTAAGTGCCCATTAACAGATGGATAAGCAAATTATGGTACATGCACACAATGGAATACTACTCAATGATAAAGAACAATGATGAATTTGAGAAACATCTCACAACATGGGTGAATTTGGAGGGCATTATGCTGAGTGAAATAAGTTACTCACGAAAGGAGAGATACTATACGAAACCACTATTATAAAAACCCAAGAAAAGGTTTACACATAGGAGAAAACAATCTTTGATAGCTCGGAGGGAGGGGAGGGTTGGAGAGGGGAAATCACTAACTAGACAGTAGACAAGTGTTAACTTTTGTGAAGGGTAAGGAAATAGATAATATAGGGGAGATCAGCACAACGTGACCAAGGCAAAGTCCTAGAAGCTTCCTAGACACATCCAAACACCTTGAGGGACTGAGTCACTGGGGCTGAGGGCTGGGGACCATGGTCTCGGAGGATATCTAGGTCAACTGGTTATAACTGTTCATAAAGAAAATGTCCTACATCCACTTTGGTGAGTAGTGTCTGGCATCTTAAAAGCTTGTGAGCAGCCATTTAAGACACATCTATTGGTCCCATCATGTTCGGAGCAAAGGAGAATGAAGAAAATGCGAGACACAAAGAAAATATTAGTCTAAAGGACTAAAGGACCACATGAACCACAGCCTCCATCAGCCTGAGCCCAGAACTAGATGATACCTGGCTACCACCAACAACCACTCTCTGACAAGGATCACAAGATGGTCCCAGACAGAGGGGGAGAAAAATCGAGAAAAATATTAAAATACACAAAAAATGACCAGACTTACTGGTCTGACAGAGACCAGAGGACCCCTGAGACTATGGCCCCCGGACACCCTGCTAACTCAGAACTGAAGCCACTCTGAAGTCCACCTTTCAGGCAAAGATTAGACAGTCCTATAAAACAAACAATAACACACTTTAGGAACATGCTTCTTAGTTCAGTCAAGTATATGTGACCAAATGGGCAATACCTGCCCAAAAGCAAAGATAAGAAGGCAGGAAGGGACAGGAAAACTGAACTAATGGACATGAGAACCCAGGGTGGAAACAGAAAGGGAGAGAGTGCTGACATATTGCAGGGACTGCAACCAATGTCACAAAACAATTTGTGTATAAATTTTTGAATGAAAAACCAAACAAACGAACAAAAACTTTCCTGTGTAATTAAACAGAGTGCATGAAATTATACCTTTCTGTCAGAAAGATGATTCAGGTTGTTTTAATTGCTTTTTGGTTATTATTTATATAAACTTAAATTAAATAGTAGTTATTTTAATTTTAATTTTAATTTTAAATGCCTTCTTCATTCAATAAAAAAGTGAAACTTCCCTTAGGTGGAAGAAAAAAAAAGCGGAGAAAGTAAATAATAAGCTATTTTAGGCAATGTGAATTTATGTTAAGGTGATAATGAAACATCTGATAAAAGATACTAGCATACAAGTAGAAACAGAGAATTCAAGCTCAGCAAAGAGAAAGTGGTGAAGGAGCTGGACACAGATTTCATAATCAAACCAGACTCCTTTCCAGACTTTGAAATTTACAGTGAAGCTAGGGAAGTGGGTGAGGTTCCTGGGAAAATGTGAACAAAAAAAATTTCAAAAGCAGGAGGCAGACATAAAAAGAGACAGCAGAAGAGGCAGGAATCTGCCTCATAAATTAGAGGAGAATCAGGACGTTAAAACTAGGAGCCAAAGGTTTCAAATAGAAGGGGCTGACAAGATACCTTCTCTACTGTGGCAGAGAAGTTGGGCAGCATATGAACAGAAAATGGGCTGCTCATTTGTGATTAAGAGACCAGTGGTAATTAGAGTGAACTGCAACTTGCAGCCTCAAAACGACTTTAAAAATGACTGTCAAGATGTTCCTCAAATCTCACTGCTTAGAGGAATTTTAGAATGTCTGATTTAACACGCTCATTTTAAAGCAAGTTAAACCCAGAATACAAAGCTCTTATGATTCATCTAAGGCAGAGATACAAACTGACAAGTCAAGCACCAAATTCAGCCTATGATTTTGTTTGGCCTACATGGTGTTAAAAAGCAAATGATGCTTTTACCCCACTAATCTCTATGGGCTAACACTTCGCCTGCTTCAAGTATTTCAGTTACTTGCCTGTATATTAGAAGCATTTGAGTATGCAAACTGGCTCAAGGGTAAAGCTGGGGCAAAAACTGAATTCTTATGAATCCCTTCCTCTCTGTCACATTGCCTATCTTATACAACTAATGAACACTCTTAATAAACTTTTACTGATGTATTTTTCTATATAATTTCATTTTACTAAAATCATGTTCCAGACACCATGTTAGACGGTGGATAGCGTGGCAGAGCAAATTAAGTGTGCAAACTCTATATAAACATATAAGATGAAACTGGTAAGTATGAATCAAAATAACCGCCAATAATTTAAACAGGTAATTACCACCAAGTTTCTCCACCTGTTTTATTGTTCACTTGTGCCCATCTAGCTCAGTTTTATCCACCACTACTTCAGAGGATGGTTTGAGACCTCCTAGATGGCACTGAAGACAAAATGACCAGCAAGCTCCAAAAGAAGCAAGCTTCTTAGATAAAACATAACCCAGACTGCTTTACCGTTAGTCAGAGTTCATAAGCTGTGGATTTAGACACTCACTACATGTATTATCTATGTTCGTCATGGCTAAAGATCATTATCTATTAAGAATCTCTAATGAGACTAGTTAAATAGTCATTATACTGAGAACAAAATAATCTTCTAATTATCTAGTTGATAAACTTTATCCCTGACATAAACTCATCTGTATCTACAGTCATAAAATAAAAATACCATAACTTTATATAAATTCAGTATGGGACTTTATTAAATATATGATTTATTTGAACAGCCGATTCAGAAATCTAATAGAAGAATGCTATATGATGAATTAAAGAAAGGTGAATGCAATATGGCTCAATATCAAAATCAAGAGCTTTGAATTTTGCTTAATACTATATTTCTTAAGCACAACTCAATAGTATCAAACAGGTAATTCAAATACTCATGGTATAATTAGGTACTTAACACTAGATTTGAAAAATTAAACACCTGGCCTTGATATACTTCAGTAATATCTAATGTTGCACTAAAAGTCTGAGCATCTTTAATAAAAGATTATCCCCAAATTAACTAATTATTGAAAAGAAACCTAGGCATTTCAGAAATACTATACTACGCTTCTCCATTTCAGTTAAAATAGACTCATTAGACTTGGTACCCAACTTTCCAAAACATTGAAGTGAATTTTAAACTTCAGATAAACAAGCTTGGAATAAATCTCTTTATTAATATTTATAATAAAAACTGTTTTTTTAATGATGCTTTACAATGTATAACACTTTCTGTTCCTAAACTTTCATTTCTCAATCACATCAACAGATGAGTAAAAGGAACATTTTTTTTTTATAGAGAAAACTTAATACATGGAACAAAAGGTTCTACCCCTGAATAAAGCTTTAATTAATGTTCTATATATTAAAAAAAAAAAGTTGCCATTGAGTCAATTCCAACTCATAGCGACCCTATAGGACAGAGTAGAACTGCCCCACAGGGTTTCCAAGGAGCACCTGATGGATTCAAACTGTTGACCTTCTGGTTAGCAGCCGCAGCTCTTAACCACTATGCCTCCAGGGTTTCCAATGTTATATAGAAGGATGCTATTAGTTTACTCCTACAGACAGAAGCTATGTGGCTGTGTCTGTCTTACAGAATTCTTCTAGCCTTGTCATTTGTTTAGCTGCCAGTCTTGGAACTGAGCATTAACTTCAGTGAAAATCAGATTTTGTTTTCAAGTTAAAAAAAAACTGTACTCTAGAATTTAAAATTCTCAACATCTTTATAACCTCTTTCCCTCTTCGCTTTGGCAATTTTCACATAAGCTCTATGTCTAATGATTAGTGAACCTAGTGGGCTAAAATTAAGAGAAGATGCTGAGAAAATCATGAAGACATGTTGAAACACAATTGTTTTGTAGATTTCTTTGTGAAGTGCTCTGAAATTTTATAAAATGGCAAAATTCCCATTGATCTGCAAATATAAAAATTACCATAAAAATATTTTCAACTTAGCTTGTCAGGGTGCAAAAAAAAAAAAATTCATTACAGTGCCTATACAGCAGGTAGCTGCTCATTTTACTTCATCCACGAAGCTTGATAAACTTAAGAAAATTTAAAAATGACTTGAATAGAATTCAATTAACTAAAAGGAAATTGTTTTTCTGCTTTAAACAATGAAAACTGGTAAAACTTTTCAATGTGATTACACAATTGAGTAAAAAATCAAGACGGGCTTTGCATTTTTTCTACAATTGTAGAAGCAGAATAAATTTTCTTCAAAATCTTAGTATCTTCTTCAGCTTCTGCTTCCACCCTCAAACCACATTGTCATTCCACTGCCTCTTTCCTGCATTCCTGTGTGTGTGAATTTATATTTTCATTTTATAAGTGCTAAGAACCCATTTGATCCAGGCTTTCAAAGTGAACCTTCGATTAATACTTGTTTCCTAGGAAAGTGATACAAACATTATAAGTAAAACACACAGTACAAATTACAGCAGTTATAAACCAAAATGTGTTCCAGAAGGCAAGCTCTCTGTCCTCACCTGTAGAAGTATGAACACCCCCTGACTGTGTTGTGAGTGAAATGTTCCTGAGTCTTCTCATTTCCAAAATCCTCCAGAGGGTCTGACCATAGGATATCACACATAGGTCCATAAGCAGGTGGTTCTTTGAATCGGTCTAACTAAGAAAAATAGAAGACAGAGAGCAAAATACTAATCTTGGGAAACTTGGAATTCAGAAAATAGAAGAAACCAGCATTGTGCATTGCCCATCCTTCTCTCCCCAACCACGGTGCAGGATGAACTGCTTCCCACCCCTCTCTCTTCCTATCTGCTCTCCTTCCTTTCTCCCCATTTTTCTACTCTTCATCTCTCTTTAATTTTCTTTCTTTCTTCCTCCTGATGAGCTCATTTATTGTCTGTATTCATTTCACCCTTCATTCTCCTCTTGTCTCTTTATTCCTTTTTCTTATTCCCCCTTTTATCCTTCTCTTTCTCTCCAGATTCTTGTTTTATTCAAGTGTTTTAGTTATTACTGGTTAATGTGACTATATCTCTGTTTCATTTCTGGAGGAGAGCTTCTATTTTATCTTATATTTGGGGAGATTCCTATTACTGATTCCATTAAAGTATGATTTAGAAATTTGGATAGGAAATAACTTACAGTTTTTATGTTTAACAACATAATTTTGGGAACACAGGGTTTTCATTTTAAGAGTAGTCACTTGCTATACCAGAACGACACATAAAGACACATGGTATTTTGGTTGAGACAATGACATTTTGTGTATTGACTCATTGGGGGATACCTAGGTTTCTAATTAAAGTACAAGCCTATCATACAGAGATGGATTACCCAATAAGCATGGTATGCAGGCTTAATTGTGCTCACTTACTATTCTGTAGTGTACAATTTCATCTGGTTTTCACCAAACTCGTGAAATTTACAGATTAGTACACAATTAAGCCCATGCATTCCTTGCTTATCGTAACCAGTGCATACCATGCTTACCGGTTAATCTGCCCTTGCTATTGTAATTTACCTAATGGGTACAAAGAAATAGTAATGATAAGCAGGAAACTAAACCCAACTTTAGCTGGTCATTTTTCATTTCACAGTCCTAAGCTTTACAGTTTTGACTGAAGCCCTCATATGAAATCCATTTTCCAGCCATAAATGCTTAGCAAAGTCATATTTCAATTTAAAATGGTCCATTTAGAAGGTAGGAGCAATATAACAACTGGAAATGACATTTCACCAACAATTTTATAACACTGTCACTATCCTTTAGTTTATCTTGATTTACTCATATTTAAAGGATCTTTGGTAATGTTGGCAGATACAATAAAGCTTCTTGAAAAAAACATAAAGTAGCTATGAAAATCCATTAAGGATTGATATTCTCCATAGTCAATACTTCAGTATTTTTAAAAATCCCATAGAGATGGTGAATGAATCAGGCTGACAAACAATCAAATTCTCTATATTTCCTGGGACATACAGGGTAAGCAAGTAACAGTTTTGCTACAAACCACTTTTTTCTAATATCTAAAAAGAATGAAGTATTATTCCATATTTTTAACACCTAATTAAAAACCTCAATAAGACAAAGCCCTCTATATTTTGACCTTTACATTACGCATAAAACATTGATTGCATACTTATACTTCTAACTTGTTTAAGAAATTTAAATAATTCATGCTTGTGTAATAACACATCCAAGAAAAACAATGTTTGTCCATAAAAATGAAGAATTTCTTTCTGAGGAAGCAAGAACTTATTGTTAGGGGTAGAACAGCAGAGGAGGGCAGACTTTCTGGTTAATGTGAATCCCAAACCAAAGATCCGGCGAGATAGTCATAAAATTCAATGTATTATGGGAAATTTACAAAGTGCACTGTAAAAGTACCATCTACAGTAAAAATAAATTAAAATGTATAATTAAGTAAATAAAGTGTAGTGGAAACTCTAATGGACACATGGCAAAATGCAAACCTAAATATCATTTTATGGCTAAGTCTTAGAGTTTAATGACATAAATGAAAATTGAACATAATATCTGAAACATGCCTGAAAGTAAGTCCTGGGGATAGTGGGAGATTTTTTAAAGACCCCCTTAATTCATTATGAGACGTTTAGTCATTTATTTCAAAAGAGTCCACCAGATTCTAGAAGAATGAATTCGTCATATTCTTGCAGAAAGTGAATGGCTCTACACATGAACTCCATGACTGTACTTCAGTATCATGTCTCTACACTACCATAAATATTGAGCAAATGCCAACGCTCTATCTGTGTGTTGGAGAACAGCAGAAGCAAATGTGTAATGAATGGTGCATTGCGTGCACGCGTGCACACACACACGCAGAGAGCAGGAAACAAAGGTTTATTTTATGCACTTCTTTTCTGTTTGATTTTAAAAATAAACTTATATATTTCCTTTCTAAATGGAAACTAAGTAAAATATTACTGCTATACCTGAAGCCCTGAACCTTCTACTCTTTCACATGGTGTCACTATGAGTCAAAAATTGACTCAATGGCACCCAACATGTTTTATTTTCCTAAATATATTTTTTCTTTAAAAACTGCTGAGCTTCTAAAAGAATATTGAGTTTATAACAGTAAAAACTTATGATGTATAAACACATCCATGATTAAATAAAAAGCATTTCCTCAACACCATGAGTTCCATGAAGAAAAGTACTTAAGAAACACAACAAATGAGAACCATATAAAAATGGTTATTTATTTTGTAGTAGAAGTTAATAAATTTTGGGGTGATTGTTGCATATTCAACAAAATGGCCTAGTAGCCCCTATTCTTTCTATTTTTTGAAGTATAAAACTTTATATATCAATGTTGTTCCACTAATAAAAATGCTATTTTGAGTGAACTTTTAACTAATTCTTCTTTTTAGGATAATCAGTAATTTTCTCATCTTTTATCTATGCCCATGAAACTTAATACAGGCATGAGACTAAAACATACATATCTTTAATGTCCAGCATTTGCTAACAAAACAACCACACTCATTTGTATTTTGACCTATTCCATTTTCTACACCTACTACAATAAGTGTCTATCAAGTTCTTAATATGATGCATTAATGCATTGACAGATATTTGATCTCTTTCTTCATTGAACAAAATGGAAAAAAAAGTATCGTTTACTAATATAATAAGTTAAGGCAACTAATAGAATGAACTTGTAAATGTTGCCCAACATATAGATATCTGAGGTTTCCAAACTCAGGGAAAAGGGGAGGAACAATTAAATGGCAACCACTCAAACAAGTGAGATCGAAAGATTCTTTGTATTCCAAAAACCAACTAAATGATGAGCAAGAGCTAGAATTTGGATTTTTGTTTATCAGTATCCTGATCTTAAGTAAACTTATATTTAAGCAATAAATTCTGTACTCTCATAGTACATCGTTTGTTTGAAGCCAAAGTCTGCTTATAATGCATTAGGCTTAAATAAATAAAAACTAAGTATTATGTGTCTTTAAGACAAAGCTGAGCACAACCATGATTTTCCTAGTTTAAATATAGTACTTTACAAAAATGTGACCTGCTTAGTCTTCCTAAAATTATTGGTGAGAGTAATAAGAAAAGGTTAGAATTATTTCTACGCTTGTCCTGTTCTTTGGGATAAACACAAGGATATTTTCTTAGGTCTTAAAAGCAGGGAAAAGAACAATCTAGAATATAGTATCCAACATTCATAATTTTCACAAAACAACATTTAGCTTAGGCTTCCTAGAAAGAATGCTTGATGTTGAATATACTCTTCTCAAAAAACAAATAATATGTTATAAACATTAATGTGAACAAATTATCATACCTTAAAAAAATTTTAAATATTTTCTCTGTTCCAGGTGATGTTATTTTAAGATAACCTAAGGAAACACTTACATTGCTTTCTCTTCTTTGGGAATTTTGACACAAAGAAAAATATATAGAGTTCTTTTAAATCACTCTTTCTCTCACTTTTTTTCTTACATTGCTGCAATTACCAGTGTTATAAATACAACTGAAGGAAAAAAAGATTATCTCTTCTACTACACAAAACTATCCCATATTGTTACATTTCCTCATGAAAAGACACAATGTACTTCCACATTCAATCCAACTCATTTTTTTGCTGCCTCAAACAATAGTACTGTATTTTTACACAAATGATGTGTAACTTCCAAGTTTGTTTGCCAACCGTACTCTCCCCCTGTAAGGTATTTTCATAAGTGCCAATGTACTATTTTTTTTTTAACATGTTATTGTAAAAAAAAAATTAGCGTAGCTTGCTTACAAAAATATCTCGTGGCGGGGGGGGGAGGTGTGGTTGGCAAACAAGTGTAGAAGGTGCGTGCTATTTGTGTAAAATAAGGTAATAGCTAATGCTAAACTAGGTTAAAAAACGTGTTAGAAAGTCAATTGTTTTCCACTTATCTACTCCAGACAATCAATATAATACCACCATTGCCTTTTTTTAAACTGTTATTTAAAATTTTAAAACTGTAACTAATAGTAGATAACATAAAATAACATGGACACAATTTAAAGGTCAAGTTGTGATATTTCCCATGGGCAAATTTTCTACCTATATATAACCAAGGAAAATGAAAAGACATATATTTTTAGGGATCAAATATTTTATATTTCCAGTGAAATATGTCACATGGCAAGATGAACCCTGAGGTTTTAGAGATGAAAACTCTAGTGAGTACGTCTTCCTTTCTACAGAAAAAAAATAACACAAAGAAGACATTCACAACCACTCCAAATCATTTTAACTCAAAACGGTAAATTTACTGATAAAGGCAAGGTAACTAATGTTATGACTTAATTGACTAATGTTATTAATGTTAATTGATTAATGTTATGGCTTACTTATTACTTAAGCACACAGAATGATTAAACCTGGAAAATAACAGAACTTACTTTTCTGATATCATCTAAAGTGTTAATCTCTGGAGACAGACCACCATGTACGCACAGGAACTGCTGGTTCATCAGGGCAGCCAGAGGAAGGCAGTCAAAGGCATCCATACAGGCATCGTATACACGTTCTGAATACTTTATTTTACCTTTTAAAATATCATTAAGAAAAAAAAAAGCAAATAGTTACTCTCCTGATTTCCCAGCTAGGATTATTTCACTGAAACAGTTTATTTTTAATGTTTTCTTGCCAGGACTGTATGGTCAGCATAAAACTACACACTGTAAAATTCTAAAACATAACTAATTAAGGCTTTTCTGAAAAGTTACAATATGAGCCTTTATAGCTATTGTGTTTTAGTTTTGCTGTGATCTATAATTTACAATTTTTAGTAACTTTATGTATAATGGCGGAGAGAACTTTTCTATATACAACCTTCCTATTTATCGGTAGACATATGACAAAAAAATTACACACAAACAAGTGAATATTGACCAAGAGAAAGATGGCCACGACACTATCTGATTTTCCTGAATGATCTTGTGCAAAAGCAGATGGTAAGAAACAAGGTTTAAAAAGTCACCTCTATCTCACTGCACGTGGGTTTTCCATTATCAACTTATATTTAATATTTTGACAGGGGAGGTCTTTATGCTCCATTTAATACAGGACTAAATGACAGAGAAAATTTAAGTTTCAATGGACAATGAAAAAAAATAATGAGAGAAGGAAAATGGAATTTATATGAAGTACTCCTCATTTCTATCTTTAAAGGAAGCACCTATCTCTAAAGGAACAAGTAATCTTTAATTTTACATAATTGACTACATGCTAGTAAATTTATTGGGTTCAAAAATAGAGGCATAGGGTTGAATCTGTCTTCCATTTGCTTGCCTGGAGTTATCCAAAGGTTAAAGGATAGCATTATTATTCCAAATAGTAGTATTCTGGCCATTAAAAAAATGGTAACTTAATCATCAATTTCTTAGGAAAAATTACATCAAACATTAATTCAAATTTTTAGATCACTTTACTGAAGAGAATTTATAATTCAAAAAAATCCTGAAATCTCTGTCTATGCTCTTAAGGAAATATAGAATGATATAAAATAGTGTCATTTTAAAGTTCTGACTAGGCATAATATAATGCCAAGTGCTCTGAGTATCTATTAAAATGACTAGTAATCCCTTACGGTGTTTAAAGAATAAGTTTGAAGTATACTTACATTCTTGTTTAAATGTGAAATACTCTGTTAGATGTCTACATTCATGATTTCCACGAAGTAAAAACAGTGTTTTGGGGTAAAGGATTTTCAAAGCCCACAAATAGAGCACACACTGAGAAAAAAGCATAAAAATAGTATAAAAATAAATATTTTCCCATTATACTTATACATTCCATTGTTCACATATCATAAAGACATGAACCAAGCAGGTTACTGTCACCAAAAGTCTTCAAAAGGCTAGGCCTTACTAGAGAGGACACTGATGGCCAAACAAAAAACAGTATTTTGGTACAAAGCCAAGGTTTACCTACACCTGAAATACATATACTTATTTAGGATCTATAAACACACCAATGATCATGAAGATGGCACAGGGCCAGGCAAAGTTTCATTCTGTTTACATATGGTCGCCATGATTCTGAGCCTACTCAATGGCAACTAACAACAACTAAGGATCTACACCCCATAAGAAAAGAACGGATTGCATATAGTCCTTAGAAGGAGATCTGTGTGGTCTGGAGGGAGAGGTGGCTGGTTAAAAATAAAATGAAATAAGGAAGAAGCTTGAATGAAAAAATACTAAAAATAAAAACATTGGTATAGGAGTGTGAGAAGACAAATGATTAACAAACAGTAAGATACTATGCTCATTATTTTAATTAATTTTAAAAGTCAGTAATAGAAATGGGAGAATTGGAAAGAAAAGAGAAGACGAAATTTGGGCCAACACTGACAATCTCAAGCTGACTTGGACTATGTCACTACTTTTATGAATTTTCTCTGCTTCGCTAGTTCCCTACTTTCTTCTCCCCATCAACTTGTTTATTTCAATGTTTTTGGTATATAAAGCCTTAAAATTTTTGTTGTATAAATAAATACGATTAAATTGAAGGTGAGGGAACCTCAGTACACATACTGCTAATGGCTCTCAAATTAGCTACTTGGGCATTGCAGTGTGGGTAAGAACGATGGCCAACCGCACATTGACCAGGTTTGGACTTAATGTACATTGACACAGTCTTCCTGGAATGTGCATTAAGATAACTGGACTACTCACATATTAGCATCAATTTCATTATTCTCAACTGGCATTTATTAAGAACCTACTGGGAACAGAAAACCATGCACTGAAAAACAACTGTGGTTTGTATGTTCATGAAATGTATGTTCAAAAAGTGAAGCTGAGCAGATACAGGAATCTCAAAAATATTTAGACAAGTCTGATTCCAGTTACTAAAATGTGAAACCACAAAACACCTAATAATTATATTTTGATAATCAGTTTTCCAACATTTAGTAGATATGATGGATAAAGTCCACAGGGAAAATCTATTGGCAATTACTAGTCTTGGTACTTGTTAAGAATAATCATCTCTGTAAGTTTACATGATAATTTATTAAATGAGTGGAAACTATGTTAGGAGAAAATACTCATTATCAGAAGAAGTGTGGATTATTGTGTTGTCTAAGCAACATATCTTCTCCAACTATGTAATTATGATTGAAGTAAACTAAAATAATGCATTGACATTATATTATATATTATTATAATTAACTTCCTAATTACCATTTTCTGATTATTGGTATTAGCTAAAGTTCATGTGAATAACATGACTCTTTAAAAAGTTAACCAAGTGGCCTCTTCAAGTGATCCTTGAAGCATTCATGATCTGTTGATATGTGTAAATGTCCCTTCTTAGTCCAGTGAATAGTCCAGTAGCTCAATGAGTCTCTGACAGCTGTGTATCAGGTTTTACAGGCGTATTTACATGTTTGAATAAAAACAGTCCGTAGTACTCAAGCTTGTCTCAGATTTCAGAGCAAATACGTATAAACTGTTACTAATGTCAACAAGAATTGTTCCTATTTTAAAATTTATGGAGTTGCACCTTAATCTGGAAGAAACACATATATTTTTCCAAATTGTTAATTTAGGATGTCTAATTTAGACAGGGATGGGTATGTAAACTTTTTCAAAACTTATATTTACGTTTTGAAATTGTTTTATTGGATACACTATATTTTTATTCAAATAACTTGTGCCTTCTACGTTTGTTTGCCAAAATACCTAGCGGGGGGAGGGTGTAGTTGGCAAACAAATGTAGAAGGTGCGCGTTAGTTGTGTAAAAATATGGTATTTTATTTATATGTTGGAAGGATACACATTTAGCTTCACTCTGTTGTTGTTATGTCCTGTTGAGTTGATTCCGATTGATAGTGACCCTATAGGACAGGGCAGAACTGCTCCATAGGGTTTCCGAGGCTGTAATCTTTCTGGGAACAGATTGCCAGGTCTTTTCCACCATGGAGCCACTGACAGGTTTGAACTGCCAGTCTTTTAGTTAGCAGTTGACAACTTAACCATTGAGTGACCAGGGCTCCTTGGCTTCACTACAGCTACTTATAAAAAATGTTTTTACTAAAGTATAACTTATATACATTTGAGTGCACTTATTTTAAAAGTAGAGGTCAATTAATTTTTTTACGTATGTATACCCTCATGAGACCACTACCTAGAACAAGTTAGGGAACATTTCAGTACCCAGAAGGCACCTTTGTGCCCCCTCCCAGTCAATACCCCGTTGGAAATGTAATCACAATTCTGACCTCTTTTAGATTACTTTTGCCTGCAACAATTTATTTAGAAGCAAACTATTATCTCACCAACTAAAATCTCAAATGCAATTCTTTAACCCCATTCATATACTGCCAGAGAAATCACATTTTAAAAACCGTATTTTCCTTTTCACCATCTGTTGAAGATCCTGGTTTAACATTAGTATGTGTCTTTATCGCCTCTAGTCTTAATAACTGCAGCTCTTTCATAACTGAAACCTCAAAGAGTGACATAGAAATGTTCTATGATAAATATTCCTACCATACTTATTTACCTTTAAAATAATTCAATACACATTTAATTCCCCTTGTTACTTAATGGATTTAAAGCACCCAGAATATAGTAAGAATTCTGAAATATTAGCTCCTTTCCTGCAAATAAACAGGAAGGAAAGAAAGAAGGAAGGAGGGAAGGAAGGAAGGGAGAAAGGAAGGAAAGAAATACCTAAGTTTCCCAATTCTTGGCTCAAAATACCTAAAAAATAAGAGTTCTCTTTTTATATTTTATTTCTTTCTTCCCCGGGGCAAGAATAAAATATCTTCCCAAACACTGAATAAAACCACAAATGGAGCCGGTATGGAAGAAGTGGCATGGTAAATGAAAGGACAAGAGTGGATTGGAGAGTGAAGCCCTGCCAGCCTTCACCCTCAGCATCTGGTGGGAGAGAGCTGCCAAACACAACTATCTTGCTGGCAACTACTTGCCACTGAGTTCTAACATTCTGGAAAGCTGAAGGTCTTGAGCAATATTATAACTTGATTTTGTTTTTTAAAGAAAATCCTCTTCAAAAAAAATTATCACAATCAATTATGCAATGAAATAAAAACTACATAATCAGTTATTTTTGTCTATGTGGTATCAGATGACTAATTTGAATAAAATTTTCGTGGAATTAATTGGTTAAGGTGGAAACGGAGCCAAGTTACACTGGGCTTTTTTTTACATGGCGAGACGCAAATTAGCTGTACTAATCACTTTCAACTGGAACTCTATCTTTACTCTTAAAAACTAAATAAATATTTACATTTAAAGTTAGTCTGGGTTATAGATTATGCAAGATTGAGTCTCCTCTATCATTTTTATTAATTTTCTTCTGGACACAATTTCTCCTATTTAATTTATCTATCTTGCCCAATGAAACAGAACTAATGATTTCATTTTTTTCCATTAGTTTAGCTGGATCATTGATAATAAAAGGGCAATAATTTACTTTATAACTTATGCCTTTTAATGATGCATATTCTTGAAAACTTGCACAGGGAAGTAAAGAAGGATATAAAAAAGAAAAGATACAGCTCCAACTCTGTATTAACCAGCCCTCCAACATAACTATTCATGCCATAAAACATTCTGATCAAAACTGCTGTTGCTCAATCATGACACAAGTAAGTGGAGGATGTGTCTTGGTGGGGGGAAGATTCAAAATGCTGAAATGTCAGATGTGGTTCCTCTCAGATATCACTTTCCTGGCCTGACAAGCACACAGTAAAGCAGCAGGGGAATAGCTGTGCAACATAATGATGCCTGCCTACAGAGGACAGGCTGACAATATTTTCCTCATGTCTGCAGCATTCATATGTCACCTAACATGGCTTGCTGTACTGTCTGTTTGTTGTTCTCAGTTAGAAGCATAGAATACTGCCTAGCTTGCTGTGATTCACTCTGGTCTCTTGAGTTTTCAACTAGTAAGCAAAATCACTCTTTAGGACTAAACGTGCTAGAGCCCTGGGTTGAGATCCAGATGTAATCATGTGGGCGGGGCCAGCTCACTGCTACCAGTTGCCGTCAAGTGGATTCCAACTCATAGTGACCCTACCGGACAGAGCAGAACTGCCCCATAGGGTTTCCAAGGAGTGGCTGGTGGATTTGAGCTGCTGATCTCTTAACCAGTTTGGTTAGTAGCCAAGCTCTTAATCACTGTGCCACCAGGGCTCCAGCTCACTGTTAGGGCCCAAGCAATGCAGTACAGAATGGCTAGAAAGCCAGTTTGAGGATGTGAACAGAAGTAAACAGCTGTACCTGCCTCTGTTTGCAAGTTTGAGTTTTTCCTTCTGTTCTCAGAGAGACAATTCAGAAATGGACCTATACGTACACATGCTTGATCAAAGAGGTTAGATGGCATTACGCACTCATAGAAAAGAGGATGGTATTTGGTGTGAGACAATTTACTACTCAAAACGAATTTGCCTCTTTTATCACTACTCAAAAACTTGTTTTATTTGAGCTAACATTGCAGGAAATGATTTCTAATCTTGACAAAAAGAGAATATTAGGGGGGAAAGAGTGTATAAAATGAGCTCTAGGAACTGCCCAGAGCATACTACCTTGTCACCTGTTGCCGTCAAGTCGATCCGAACTTGTGGCGATCCCATGTGCATCAGAGTAGAACTGCGCTCTATAGGGTTTTCAATGGCTGGTTTCTCAGAAGTAGATTGCCAGGCCTTTCTTCTGAGGCATCTCTGGGTGGATTCGAACTGCCAGCCTTTCAGGTAGCA